CTTCTCTCAAGCAACACACTTCACACCCATTTAAACAATGCTAATAACAGACTGGCTGTATATAGAGAGCTAAATAAATACACGGCTCTCATTTAGCAGAATCTTTTTTTATGAAATGATGACGTATGTGCTGTGAAATATGTTTAAAATAATGCTAAAGCAAGGAAAAAGTTAATCAAGATCTGCCGAGCACAGCCGTTTTAGCCACACACACACACACAGACACACACACACTCTCTCTCTCTCTCACGCACACACACACACACACACACTCTCTCTGTCTCTCTCTCTCTCTCTCTCTCTCACACACACACACACATGGTCTTAGCGTACGGCAGCTGCACGCTGAGGGTGTGAGTATTTCACTGGTTTTCTGTTGCTGCGTCTGCCACACGGTGATGTACTTCATGTAGTGATGTACTAAATAACTGAACTATGAGTTAAGCCGCCATGACCTGACAGATTCCTTGGCCTAGCTCAGGCAGAACAGCTCTGCCAATGCTCTGTAACCTCATGTTTATGCAGGTGTTTGAATCTTGCCTCCTAACAATACACCATGGTGACATTTTGCAGGGAGACAGCCCTGGTAATAAAGGCCTTAGCAAGCACTGCTACCTGCCACAGCCAAGTGTCTACTAACTTATAACTGCTAGAAGCTGCTAGAAGATAACCTGCCGAGTCAGCACTCACATAATTGCCATGTAGGTGAGCTGTGAGTGGTACAATTGCGGAGAGAAGGAAGACAGCAGAGAGAAAGTTCGCCTTTTGGAAAGTTTGGAAAAAACTTTGAGTTCATACAGCTAATTATAATGGCTATACATCAATACAACTGTATATTCAAAGCCTGCCCAAATATTAATGAGGGGAGTGAGACATGCAAGTCGAGGGTTTGAAATTGTTGTGATGAATATTATACACCACACATTTTAAATGAATTATTTCTCAATAGCTTTGACTTCTAGGAGTGAGGAGATGACAGAAGAATTCATATTAATCCATAATAAAATGGTTTGTGTTATTTTAGAATTATGTATATATGAGTACAGAATTTTATATTTAGCATTTATTTTCTATAAATTCATTTTAGTTTAAGGTTTAGTAATTTTGCTATGTGCTTTTGTCATTTTTTTCAAATATTTTGTATTTTCATTTAAAATTCAGTTAATTTAAACATTTTATTTCAGTTAGTTACATATAGCATAAAAATGTATTTATTGCAAGCTCTTTTTTTCAATTAATAAAAACTATTTTTAATTTTAGGTAAAGTTTTAGTTAACAATAACAACAATAATCTCTGTATCCCTGCCTTAACAATTTATGACTTGGCTTGATCCTTTTTCATAGGTCTTGACTTTCTCAACTGTTTTCAACAATTATCTATCAAAATTCTGACAAACTCTTAATTTGATATATTCAGATAACTGTAGTAAAAAATATTTTGGTAACGCTTTAGTATAGGGACCAATTCTCACTATTAACTAGTTGCTTATTAGCATTCCTATTATTAACATATTGGCTGTTTATTAGTACTTATAAAGCACATATTCTGCATGACCATATCCCTAATCCTACCCAATATCTAAACTTAACAGCTACTTTACTAACTATTAATAAGAAGCATATTAGGAGTTTATTGAGGCAAAAGTTGTAGTTAATGGTTTGTTAATAACGAGAATTGGACCTTAAAATAAAGTGTGACCACTATTTTTTTATGTTTTAATTACATTAATTGTTAATTCATTTATCTTTCATTTTCAAAATAAAATATAAATTAATAAAATATAATTAATTTAATTAGATTTTTTAATATCTTTAATATCTGTCTCACATTTTGTGATCGAACAAATAAATGTAAAAATAGACCAAATGATCATACAAATATTCTTGTTTTATTCATGGGAAGTATAAGTTTATTCATAACTACAAACCAACATTTGGTCCCAAACCAGCAATTAACTATTGAGCGACAGTCTAATCAAGGCAATAAACTTGTAACCCCGTTACTGTAATTACTTAATTTTTTTCCCCTTCAGTTTCAGGCCCTGTTTTGTACCCTATTCACGGAATGTGCTGGCTTTATAGACTCAAGGGAGCAACCTTCTGGCCATTGGTGATTACTGACTCATCACAAGGTTAAAATAGCAGGTGGTGGCGGATAAAAAGTTGAGTGGCCCACACGCTGCAGCCACATTAAAACAGGAAGCTCTGCACTTTAATCATCTGCACAGGCACATCAAATAATTCCATTGAATAATACATATGAATCTTCAACAGAATGATTAGCTGAAGGTAAGGTAGATCTTACCAGTCCAACCTAAGCAGACGTGTGTGATCATGTTCGCACAAGTAGGATTTGCTCATTTATGTGCTAATAACAACAATCTTCCTTCAAATTACCATGAGATATGCAAATTCATTCTTCGATGCAACAGTAATATTCTTAATCTTGACTGTACAGTCGGATTCATGTGTGAATAAGTCTTACATTTATTCAAATCATCCAGCTGAATTCCTTCGCTTAGCGATGCTAGTCTATGACAACAAACCAAGAATCTTTGGCTGTCATTTGCAGCTTGAATATATATATAGTACTTGAGCAAAATAACAAACAGTGTGGCGCAGATGACTGTTATTTGGATAGGGCAAGGGGGTTGTTACTAGAATCAGTGCTGACCAGCCATCCTTAGGGACATACATTAAAACCCACACACTGGAATAAACACAAGCCTAACAAAATCATTTGAGCTAGAAAGCTTCACTGTCAAACCTCACAGTCATTAAAACCATCCGCGCCGAGCTAATTATAGTGTTATATGGGGCCTGTAGTGCGCAACTTATTTCTCTGGTTCATCCACTCAAGTCATAAACATTGCATGCTTCGGTTGTGTGACCTCTCTCTTCTCGACGCTCGCTTAAACAAACATAGAGACCGAAGAGGTGTAGTTGCAAAATGTTGCTATAAATAAAAAAGGTGAAGACAGAAGAGAAACAGAGTGGGGGGCAATGTGAGAGTGCAGGGACAGGCAGATCTTTCATAATGTTACTGCTCTGGCTTATTTTAGTCTTGTGTGTTACCACATATCTGCTGGCACCGGAGTACAATCTCTTCATGAGGACATGGTTGACCTCTTCTGCTATCATTAAAAACAGCGTATTTCTAGCTATCATAACACACTGTTTGTTTACTGTAGATGATGTAGATGCATATGAAGGTAAACAAAATGAGGTGTATTTTTTATTCTTTCTAATTTAACTGGAATTCTATTTAAGTAAATCAATCTGAAATCTAAAATAATATACTTGGATTTTATTGCTTAAGCTTTTCTATGTGTATTTAAGTTGTGCTGACATGCTCGTACAGTACAGTAGATCTGATGTTCCCATTTATAGAAAAAAAAAAAACTCTGTATGTGGCACTTTATGTACAAAACAATGTTTAGAAATAAATTTATTAAAGTTATTGTAATTTATTCAAATATAATTATAGTTCTTGTAATTTAATAAAAACACAGCCTAAATTTGAAGGAATTCATAGTCTGCACATTCAAGGTGTTTAATTTACACATGTATTGTGTTTATTTCTTTAAAGACAAGTTTTAATTCACACCTCAAATCTGTCTTAGTCACAACCTTGGTCATTAACATAAATGAACTGCTTGTTTCTCCTTGAAGGGATCCCAAACCATTCTATTTTATTTTATTTTATTTTACTTTATTTATTGTTTTAATTTGTTGTTATAAAAAATGAAATATTCTTTTATTTACTTTTTTTCTTAACCAGTGCAGCCTCTTTGGAAACAAGTTGACTTTAATTAAAATTATTTCTACCATTAATATGGTCAGGGCCGTCCCAAGCTGGGGCGGGGACAAGTTCGAGATAAGGAACAGGGCCCCCCTTGGTCCGTTTGCGGACCAAGTGAAGGGCCTGGTGTAACCACAGGACGGCCCTGAATATGGTATCAGAATTTTTTATTAAAACTGACATTTTATTTGAATTCTACATCATTTGAGTCATTATAAAATTTATGGTTTTATCATTTTTATTTACTTTTGTGAATTTGAATCAGAATGTGTTTTTACCTGCAGCTACCTCAGCTTCATGGATTCAATCCTCTAAAAACAGACAAAATGTGGCAATGTACATAAATTATATCCATAAATTATACAGAGACAGTTCTATGTGTATCTTCAACAAAAAGCAGAAGTGGTAGCATTACTTAAAAAGTATTGTGATCCATCTCATAATTCATTATCAAGTTGTTCTTTTATACATTTAAGTATGCCTTTTGGATGTATGTAATACAGTAAGCCTCGTAATATGAATAATAAATGAATGCTGTAGAAACAATTATGCTTTTGGAGAGTTTTGTGAGGACATGTGGAAAAGTAAGCACTTTCCTTACATGGAAATGTGTCTTATTTAATGCTAATGTAAAGATGAAATCCCATTACATCTCCTCACGGTTCTCTTCTGATCACATAGGTGTCATTTAAAGCATATAGACTACTCTAAATTAATTTCAACTTCCATCAAACCCACGCTCTCACTCTCTATCGCCATCCCAGGAAATTGTAGCATAAATCTCTGACTAAATAATGAATAGACATGTCAGCCAATGCTTTCATGCCCTAGCCCTATCTGTATCTCTATCTTCAGCATAATCCCCTATCTCTGTCCACAGAACTGTATCTAATGGTCCACCCTGATACCTTGCAGAGACAAACAGGAGTGGTCATAAATCTATTCAGGCTTATTTACAGCCTCTGCTGTAGTCAGCGCTTTGAAAGGAACAAATCCTCGGAGTTGCCTTTGCCATCTGTAGAGCTCTCTAGCCAGTGCCATTTTGATAGTGAGAGTTGTGACGGAGTTGGACACAGTGTTGACACTAGTTGTGCATTCTGGTTTAAATGGCTTGTATTGTGGTCATTTCTGACACCCTTGCTTTAGATATGACAAAGGTGAATGACACAGAGTTATTGTTATGGGGAGAGTTATATCTATGTTAGGCCAGATCCCGCAGGCAGTCAACTGTTATTTTTCCCAGAACGACAAAAGTTAGAGTGCATGTTCATATCATAGAAAATGCAGATATGTGACTAGAGGAAAGAACAGAAGCTCTCTCACAGCGAAATCGAACCTTGTTTGAAATCAGTGATCATTAATTAGCTCTTTTCTCAGGCCAGCATCCAACCAACAGACAATGCTCTGTTTTTGGAGGATTGTCACCAAATACCGCCGGGAATTTAAGGAAAACTCTTTCCACAGACAATCAGCCTTTCATTGCTGTCTTTGACAGTTCTCTTGTCTGAAATGTGACATTTGACCTAATAAATTATAATTATGTAATTAGTGCTGTCTACATTTCATGTGACATACTGAACCTGCCCTTTGTATTAGGAGGCACATCTTCATTTCATGATCAGATCAAAGTGAATTTTAATGGCATATTTTATTTCATTACCTTCATTGTTCTGTTCTATTATTCTGTTCTGTTATTATGCCTAGGTGTGTGTTTGCCTTACAATTTATTTAAATAGCTATGTGGAGCTTTACAACTTGGAATTGTGGAATTGCTTTTTGGTCATTTGGACTAAAGATGTACAGTGGTTCTCAACCAGGGGGTTAGGGCCCACAAGGCGCCCCCAAACCTCAAAGGGGGGAATTTGAATGGCAAAAGCGTAATTTCTATACCTGGGAAATAATGAGAAAACACACACACGTATATATAAAATCACAAAAGACTAATAGACTAGAGAAGCCATAAAAGTGTAAACACCAGAATTATTTAATAGTAATTAAATTCATAAAATAAATATTTAATTATAATTATTTTAGTTAGGTAAATATCTCAACTTATTACTGAATACTTGATTCTGATTGGACAATTGCTGTATTTTGTGGTCAGAATGTTTTTGTATAATGAACTGAACTGTATATTTGACCAGTGTCCCTGGCCACCAATCTCTCTCACATCAACCCTGAGCTCTCTGTCTTCTAAGATAATAAAGTAATTCCTCAAATCAATATTTAATGTCCTTTTATTCACTTATTTATTAGTAAGTGAGATGATGTACAGAAACCCAGTCATTATCACAAAATAAACCTATTCAGCATGATCCAAGACCCCTCCGGTTCACGTCAGGGTCTGGGTTTATTTTGATTTATATTGACCAGTTGACTGTACATTTATTCCTTATTAATATACTGTTTCTAAGAACTCTAGAAGAAAGTTGCATGTTAATCTGCGGTGATGGCAATCTTTAAAAAACTGGTATGGCACAGCAAGCCTCTTAAGTGACTCGAGGCAGTGTCTCCTTGTTTTCCTTCATCTGTTTGTGATTGCCTGCAAATTCATCGCAACACACTTTTTTTTTTTAAAAAGGTCTTATCAGCTTCCCTACAAGGACATTGTTTATGTCCAAAATACACTTCTTGTCTTTTGTTTATTTAACAGTTTATAATCAAATGCAAGACTAGAACCATCTGCAATGACAAGAAAAATAATTTTCTAAATTGAATTTTCACGTTGTTATTGCTACTTGCATAATGAGTCTTATTTCAAATGGTTCATTGTAAAAAGGCTCAAGTTATTTTCCTGATAAGTTCAGCGTAACTCTTTTTCTCTCTGTAGCAATGAAATCTGGAGGCACGCAGCTGAAGCTCATCATGACATTCCAGAACTATGGCCAGGCGCTCTTCAAGCCCATGAAGTAAGTGATACAGTAATAGGAAAATGTTGATGCAATTGTTCCTGCCTCCACACACCGTGACCATGACAGAATAACTGACCCACAAGTAAAGTATAGCGGCGTCTTTCCCCTCGTTTGTTTTTCTGTTTTTTGTCAATTTTTATTTTTCGTGTAATGGATTACCCCGCCTTCCAAATCCTCCTGCTGGAGCAGGGGGAACGCTCTCTTGAGGACCACACGAACGACTTTCTGTCACTGGCTCACCTCATGCACTACCCGGACAACTGCCTCTGTACATTCTATCAAGTTGGACTTAACGCCACCACATGAGCGCAGTTGTCCGGGGATGGTCCTCGAGAGAGCCTCACCGCCTTCATTGAGTCGGTGCTGGTATCCTGCAAGTCCCATCTAACCGTGGACATTGCAGACAACAACACCAGCCCCACTCAGGACCCTGAGCCCAGCCCACCATCTCCCCACGGTACGGAGCATATGCCTGAGCCCACCAATAACGGAGAGCCATTTCCCGCCGTGATCCACAAGCTGGAGCGAAGCCCCGTGGCTGAGAAGAGGATCGCCTTGGATAGTGACCCCAACACGTCAGACCAGGTGCGAGAGCCGGTGACAGTGCCCACCATGAGGGAGCAAGCCGTGGACGGTGTGGGCGCGGAGAGGAGCTCCGCCCCCTGCATCATGGCTGAGGGTGAGCTGACTATGGCGAGACATAAGAGCCTGAATATGGAGGGAAGTCGGTGTCAAAATGAGGAGGAGAGACAGCGCCCTCCAGTGCCCGCTCCTCGAAAATGCCCGCCCTCCCACCCGCTCCAGCCTCCTCCATCGCTGTCGTCTGGCAGTCCCTCTGCTCGCCCTCAGCCCATCATCATTGCGGTGCGAGCCCCACCGGACTGCCATCCTCCAGCATCGCCGGGGTTGGAGTTTCCCTCACCTCTGCCTCCAGCCTCCGAGGCCCGGACTCCGCCTCGGCCCATAGACCCAGTGGCTCCCACTCGGCTCC